GTCTCAAGTCTGCGAAGAAGGCTCTAAAGGCATCCTTTAACTTATTGATTGTTCATAATGCCCGTTCAAAAACGACAGTTTTAGCCATGTCCCAAATGTATATGTCTGAAGATGTTAAATCTGGAGAATGTGCAGGATAGGGGGAGTCAGTAAAGCGTGCAATGAATTTGTTTGGAAAATGTCCCGGAAGAAATTGACGAACTGCGGCAGCAGTTTGGCAAGTTGCCCCATCCTGCTGGAAAAATTGGTCTCGAAATGTCAAATTACGTGCACGACAAAATTGACATAGATCAGGAATAAAATGTGTTAAAATTTGTATGTACCTCTGTTGAAAAGTGTGGCTTGCCTACCATTTTCTTCGATAAAGTATGGACCAATGATTCCGTGTCCCGAAACTGCATACCAGATAGTCACTTTTGAGGTATGTAAAGAAACTTCTTGAACTTCATCTGGTCTGACAAAGCCCGAAAATTGATTTATGCGACGATTTACATGGCCTGACAAATTAAAATGTTCTTCGTCTGATGTACCTGATCGATCATTTTTAAACAATTCAGAATTTTCATACTGTAATGCAAGAATTCTGGTACACTATTCCACTCTACTGTGATAATCCCTGGGATATATTTGTTGATGTACCTGAATCACATACGAAAATGCACCCAGCTCCTCCAGGATTCTTTGCAAGAAAGTTCGTTTTAAGCCAAGATGCAACGCTGTTCTTGTCTAGCTGGCTTTCGGATTTTTCAAGATTCACTCAAAAACACGTTCAAGGTTATCGTTGTTGTTAACTGTCCTGAGACGCCCTGTTTCCTATTCGTTGGCACAAAACATTACCCGTATTTCTAAACTTTTCAACAACCTTCAAAATTACAGCATTACTTGGAGAACGTTTATTAAACCGTTGTGTGAATTGAACACAGACTTGCACTATTACGTCTGCCGATTCCGTATAAGCGAAAATAATGCTCCACAAGAAAGACTTTCTCCTCTGTACTGAACACCATTTTTAACGATTAAGCCTAAATAATTAATTGTTTAAGGATTACTTGACAGGTCTATACTAGTTTTTTGAATATGACAGCGCGCACAAAGAGACATCTATGTTTCAGTTTCAGTACTGTTTATTTTGGGCAATACTGTATTACGAAAATAAGTCTGCTTGCTGCAAGCGTCACAAAATACAAATGAAATCAACAAAAATTATTACATCCAATTATCTATCAAATATCTATATGACGCGATCGGGTATTCACATCACTTCACAGAATAATTCCCCTAGTCATATATTTCGTATAAGCGCTAGGTCAACATTAATTTCACCAGTTGAATGATTTCAACATGACTTATTTAGTCAAAAAGTCCTATCTTCACAATTTGATGCAGACAGGACGCTTTAACTAAGTAGTCAGTATATAGGATAATTATTCTAAGCACAGCGGCTGTTAGTTGTAGAAAGGACAAACAAATTTATGATTTTGTACGATTTGAGGTGGCAGAAAGGATTTTCTGACTAAGTAATAAGATGATAAACATCTAATAGTAGTAGAATATAACCTTATCTAGAAAAAACGAAAATTGTAGATCGGACGTTTTTACTAAGCAGGGCAGTATAGTCCTAAAATGTTTAATCAAAAATAAAATTAGAAATATAAAATTTGTAGTTATAGATGTACAAGGCAAACCTATTCTTGAATTAAAAACATGTGTAAAGTTAAAAATAATTTGCAAACTGGATGAGGTTAATTTAAACAATAAGAGAGATACCAAAAACAGGTTCATTACAGTGTGATGGATATTTCAGATGCCTTTTATCATATAGGGTTAGATAAAGATAGCCGAAAATTATGCACATTCATAGCCCCATTCGGCAAATATCGCTTTAAGAGATTGTGTTTTGGCCTATCATGTAGTTCAGAAGTTTTTCAACGGCTAAATAAGAATATTTTTGGGGATTTAGATGTTCCAATATACTTTGATGACATAATAATAGCAGGAAAAGATGAAAGAGAACATGACTTGATAATGAATAATAAAGTATTAGAAAGAGCTAAGCAATTTAATGTTAAATTTAATTCTAATAAGTTACAATATAAAGTAAATGAAGTGAAATATTTGGGGCAGATTTATTCCAAAGAGGGGATAAAACCAGATAACTTATATGTAGAGGCAATAATGGCGTTAGAGGTACCAGAAAATAAAAAACAATTGTTAAGTATACTGGGAATGGTAAATTATCTAATAAAATTTATACCAAATCTAACAGAAATAGTAGCACCACTAAGAGGTTTAATAAAAAGCAATGTAAAATTTTGAAATTTAATGATTGCACAGCACACTTTATAATTGGACGTACTTTAACTATGTTGCCAGAGAGTGATATTACTCATGTTCCTGAGAACCGTCTCGATAAATCGCAATCTATACAAGTAATGGTTCAACAGCTGTGGTCGAGATGGCAACTGGAATACTTGAACGAGCTACAAATGCGTCAGAAATGGAAATCTAATTGCCACCAAATGTTAAAGTTAGGTTCTTTGGTGCAGATTAAAGACGACAGGACTCCTCCACTTCAATGACCTCTTGGACGAGTGACAGAAATGCATCCAGGTCCAGATGGAGTTACTAGAGTTGTAACTGTTAAAGTGCGTGGGAGTGAAACAAAAATAGCACTCAATCGTATATCGCACACCTATATTAAAAGTGTAGTAACTCAAAAAAACCACTTTTTCGACAAATTGAAAAAATCTAATCTACTCGATATAGTAAAAGATTTAAAAGCTTTTGTAAATCATATTGGAAGCACATTGGTTTACGAAGTATTTTGGTATCACATGAGTATTAATCTTGCATTTTTAATAGAAAAAAGTGAGATTTTTTGACTTATTACACTTTCGAAAAATGAAAACCGTCATGAGTTCAAAATTATTTTGAATTAATTCACTTTTATTGCAATTAAATTAAGATGCAACACTTTTAATCTAAATTTGTCAATGTGAATCATAACACAAAACTGTAGTTTTTTAGTGAAATAGACAAGAGACTTTCAGAAAAAGTAATTATTAAAGTCATATTTTAATTTTAAAATTATGTTATTTATTTTAAACAAAGTATTTTATACAAAAAATATTCAAAAACAATCATTAGTTTGACACAATGTTGACAAAAACATAAAAACTATCCACAATTGGAAAAAACTAAACTGAGATTCAACAGAATATAGACAATAACATAAATACTATTCGCAATGTAAAAAAAAAATAAACTGCCATCAGTACATTAATTTAGGCCTAATCTAATACATTTTTATAATAACTATCATAATAGGTTTTCGGAATTATATTTTTTTCAATAAGTTCGTTAATATCATTTTTTTTAGCATCAGGCAATGGAATTTTTTTATTATACACAAGTTTCAAACCTTCTGAAAATAATTCTCTATTTACTTTAGCTTTCCTTTTCTGTACTTCCGTTTTCTTGAAATCTACATCAGAGTAGCTCGTTTTATAGAAAAAGACTCCAGGACTTTCTTTTTCAACGCGAAGAATTTTTATGTCATGCCACTTAACTTGGTTTTTATCTTCATCCAGAGTGAAATTTGTTCCCTACTCTTCCTGCAAAGCCTTGATATCAAAAAACATGTCATGTGTCATCTCCACGACGGTATAAGGCGGACCAGTTTGTTTTGCAGTACGAATCAGTGTGGAATACTGTTGCGGAGTGTAAATGGGGCCCGACATAACATGTCTTATAATTTGTTTTTCTATTACACTGTGAACATTGTCACCTTCATTCTGTGAATGCCCTCGAATCAAAAACTTGTGTGTAATAGATTTAATTCCCATGTAAAAAACAGCATATGCATAAACACTTAATAAATATTTATTCTTTTGCTGGCCGCAGCAATTATCAGAGTAAAAAATGATATCTAAATTTTTACCTTCATTATAATTATCAGCTATTAAATTTTGTATATAAGCAAGTACACAGCTTCCAATTTCTGTTGCACCACGTTTACCTTCTGTTTCATCCCAAAAATAACATGTAACATTTCTCGCTTTAAAATCACTCACCGTAAAGTTGAAACAGTTTATTCTGGATTTATAAAAGAATAATGACACTTGGCCTTAAGGAACAGGCATCACTGCTTGTAAATCGTATACAGCTACTTTAACATCAGTCCTATTTTTGTCGTTTTCTTTCTCTATTCTTGCCAATTGTTTTTCTCGTAGATGATTTTCATAATTTTCAAGTAATTTTTGTTTATCATTTACATCAGCATTTTTATAACTTTCACACAAATCACAGAGATCTTTCTTAGAAATATAAAAAGATATGTTAAATTATGTGTGAAAGATACGATTAAAAGTTGTTTGGCAAGGAAAGGGCAAGTTATCTTTTTCACGAGTAAATTTATAGTCTCTATACAAATCTGATAATGATTTGTCGGACTGTATGAATTCACGTGATGTCTGGGCTCTTAAATAATGTGACTCAATTCTCGGAATATCATTTATAAATTCTATAACACTATTTATAATATCAGAGCCAACAGTGGGGTGATTGATATGTTTGCCTCTAAGTTCCTCTTGAACAATTCCAGAATTAGTTTTCTTAGTAAGCGCTGTATCAATTGGCCTGTCGTTCAAAGCAAGTGTAGCTTTAAAAAATTTTTTGCAAACCCGTATACGAGTACCGTTCACTTCAAAAAATATGCCTTATTCAGTGCTCTTAAATTTTGGGTGCTAGAATATCTGTACTTAGGTTTGATTTCATCTATGTGTCGTAAGATGTAATCTCTTTGACGTTGAAGATCAGCCATTTCCCAATAATTATTAAAAATGCGTTGCCTATCTTCGATATTAATATTATTACATCTCAAACGACATAATTCACCACAACCTTCACGAACCATTCTTCCTGAAATTTCTTTTTTTGACTTAGACATAGAAGCCTTACCTGAGTTTCGTAACTTTTTTGCTACATTCGTCTTCCAATTCTCAGGTTTTCGGACTCTTTTTTTTTCCTTTCTTTTCTCCATTATCTCCAATATTCGAAACTGTAGACTCAGATGCATTATCGGAACTGTCAGAACTAGTCAAAGAGCTGCTGCTGCTGCTGCTGGCTGAAGAATTATTAGTTGTAGGAATTAATCTGTTTGAGAATGATTTGTCTGGAGAGACATCAAAATTTGGATCAGCATCGGAATCATCTATATCGCTTTCGTTACTTCGAATGGGTGATATGTAATAATTTTTTCTCTGATCCATATTAACAATATTAGAAGTACTTGGTAGACATAAATGATTATAGGTGTTTTCGTTGGAAATGGTTGGAGTTTCATTTAAATATATGCTATTCTCGGGTAGTACATTTTCATTTCCAGGCATAAAAGAAGACTTATCATGTTGACGACTAGATTGATTAGATTCCTTTGAATTGAATTCTAAAGAATTTGTGGTGTCATGCAAAGGAATACTTTGAACTGATGAAATGTTGGAAGAATCTTTATTAATGTTTTTATTTTCATGCTTTTGTAAAGCCATGCCAACAAATAAACAGCCACGGCTCGGCATTACACTGAAACAATAACGATAAATAAACTAAACCGTCAAAAGTGAAGCAACTCAAAAATATCTTTTTATTAATTTGAAATGAAAATTTAATATTCCAAAATCTATAAAATAAAAATAAATCTCTTATAGTTAACATAAAATATTCAAAATTATCCCAAATATCAAGAACTAACTAAATTAACGTTACAAAATAAATTCACTATTAGTACCGATTTAACCCTAAATTTAAAAAATAGTTCATTAAAAATGTAGCAAAACAAAATAAACTTTAAACAAATTAAAATTTAAGCAACAAAACTGCTACAATTCAAAATGCTGCTGTAAAAATATCTGAGTACATCAGCTAAATTGTATTAAATCTAAATTATTATTGCAGTTTTATCAAGTTTACTCACCAAAACCGTTGCAACTCAAAATGCCACACTGTGAAACCGTACACTCTGCACGAAAGTCGGAGCGTAACTAAAAATGGCGCGGTTTTATAATGCGGGCGAACGAGTAATCATTCAGCAAAACCGACTTACATCGCCACCTGTGACACACTAGGGGGAATACAATTACTGCAGTTTTATTGGCGAATAGGTAATTATTCGAGGAATTCAAATATGACCTTAACTCAAATACTCACATTTTTGAGTTGCTACACTTTTAATGCTGGTGTGATGTGTTTTGCCAATAGACTGTTAAATTTAGTTGTTCAATTCATAATGTTTTGTATGTTAATTTCAATTTAAGTAATGAGAACTGACAATTTTTAACTGTAGTGTTAACCTTTTCTTTTAATTCATTAATCATTGTTTTTATTTTGTTAGTTCTGTAGGTTTTGAAAGAAACTGCGCCCTTTCAAGGGGGCCGGCATGGTTAGACATAAATTTTATTTTGTTAAGTTTAGGTACTTATGTAGTAAGAGTGTTGGCAAGTTTGTCATAATTTATGTAACGGCTGTCAAATTGTAATTTCGCTCTCTTGTCATGCAGCAATAAATTGGTAAACACGCCTCCTTATATAATTGAAGTTTTTATGTATTTTAATAATAAATGGTAGAATCAGGAATATGGTCAATCATCATTGATTAGCCAGAAGTTCAAACACCTTGTCGGACAATTTTCATGAGACATGTGCGCAGTTGGACGCGCCAAAGATGTCAATTTTATGAAATATTTTTATTTATTACCACAGATTGTTGTTTTTTTTTTCTGTTTGTTTGCATGTATAATGCATATTAAATCATTTGTCCGACAAAAACAATGGGACATATTGATACAATTTAAAAAAAAAATTAATTTTTTTTTGGAAATGCATATGTCTAAATTACACAGGGTTTGTGCATGCCTTAATTTTACAACCATTTTTCCGACACTTATACGAAATTATAAACAATTATATTTAAAATAAAAAAATCTAATTGTCCGACAAAAATATTGGGGCAAACGAACAAAAAAATAAATTCTTATTGTATATCGCCGTTCTTAAACTGTAAAGGTGAGTTTTGTCTACGGAGGCGTGCCGCACGCATCAAGAAATTCGGAGAAATACTCGGAAATTCCAAGTTTGGCCAAATCCGAATTTCTAATTGACTCGATGCAGGGAAATTCCACTTTTGCTACGTAAAACAAAAGGATTTGTTTTATATAAAAGCAGGTGGATTTTCCCTCATCGGTCAGTCGAGCTTGCCTCTTCTACTGTAGACCTAGTCGGTGCTATTATTGTTCCGACTAAGTTATTGTTTTATTTCTGATTACCTATATACCATTTTTATTTTTAGCATTATTGTATATTCAGACCTTTTCAGGTTAGAATATTACTCTGATCTATATTTGTTCATGTACTTAGGAACACTTACAAATATTTATTTTGCTTATTTCTATTTTATATATTTGACTTGTATTTTGTGTCTAAGTAGTTCTTTCCGGTCAAAGTCAAAGAACTCTTAGAAATATTTCTCTGACATTTGACTTGTTATTTTATTGTGTGTCTAAGTTTTTCTTTACCGGTAAGTCAAAAGAACACTTAGAGATATTTTCATATTCATTATTGCATTGTTATTTCCGATATTTTGTCTAAGATATTTTCTTCCGTAAGTCAAGAAACACTTAGCAATATTTCCATATCTTTTCTGTATTTGATTTCCTTATTTCCTATTACAAGTTGCTTCTTCCGCAAGTCAAGAAACACTTGTAAATATTTGTATTCTTATTTTTACATTTTACTATATTTGATTCTCTTGTTTGTGTTCTGTTCTAAGTTGTTTCTTCCGTAAGTCAAGAAACACTATTTATATATTTCTGTATTTTTCTATTCCTTTATTTTTGTGTATTTTACTTTTCATTCTAAGTTGTTTTTTCCATAAATCAGGAAACACTTAGAAACATTTTCTGTACATTGTATTTTTATATACCATTTTATTTTCTTGTTTACTAAGTTATTTCTTCCGTAAGTCAAGGAATACTTAGATTATTTTACCTGTTCTGTTTTCTATTTTTGATCTGCTATTTTGTAACTGTTCCTTGGAACGGTTACCTATAACAGATACTTGTCACGGTAACTGTTATTTTATACCAGTAGCAGTATTAACACGTTTTACCAGCGACAAGCAACGATGGTCAACACCCGATCAAATTCCGGGGACAGAAAGAAGTCCGAAGAGCCGGCGATGGGTCCTACAGGCCCAAATGCCCCCTCTCGGCAACAGTTTATGCTTATGATTTTCTCTATACATATTATATGTAATAAAATTTACTTGTCCCTGTAGTTTAAATATCTTTTTTTTTTTAATTTTAGAATTATTCCATTTTCTTTATGCTACACTGACGGATCCATTTGCAAAGCACAAAAATCGGTGATTCTTCAAGAGTTGAAGTCATATCAGGTAAAAATTATTAAAAAATGTGTATTGCTTCCTTTCCCAGAGCATAAAATTTTTTTATTGTAAATTTTTCTATTTTTGAATAAGTATTTGTAGGATGGTGTAATAAATTAACTAGCCGAGGAAGGAACGCTAAATATTTTATTTATTATATACCTAAGATTCACACATCACAGCATAAGAGAAACTTAAAAGTCTATAGCATATAGGGTATTCTCTCGCGCGTGGTTGAGATTTCAATCGCTGAATGAGGAATGAGGAATTCTTCATTGTTGCGTTGGTTTTCTCTGTCTTTGGTATGGTACTTCTTTTTGTTTTGGGGTTTTGGCATCCTGTTATAGGCTCTTGCCTCTTCAGGATGTGGTTCTTGTTTGTTGGTGTTGGCTTTGGTTCTTTGCTTCGTGGTCCACTGGTGGGTGCAGCCAGGCAATCAGAGGAGAAAGGTAGTGGTCGGTTCTTTTCAGAATTGTTTTCTAAAAAATAATATTAGTGATAGTTAGTGAATGTCAAATTAATATATGTACAGAATGCAATATTAATATATGTATAAATACATGCATTAATATGTTAAATAGTAAATGTGTTAACGCGACGCGTGAGGGCAGCTGCGGCTGTATCCTCAAAATAGACAGGTATCGTTTGCAAGTGGGATCGGGAAACCGCAGAAAACCGATCCCCCCCTGTCTAGGCAAGCTCGAAGTGAGCAATTTAGCTTGGAATGCGACGAAAATAGAGGGGAGTTGCCTCCTGTATGTCAATGTATTCATCAGGGAGTTCGTTACTGGCGAGTTCCAGTAGAATTGCGGGTAGGTGTGGGATTTTGGGTTTAGGATGTCTGGTGAATACATTGCCGCGGGAAGAGCAGACAGTTTTTAGGATGCGTTGAGCTCTGAGGTTTTGGCTCCGGATAGTGCGTGTAGTATAACTTCTGCTCAGAGAGTGTAGTCTCTCATTTAGGGGCTGGATATTAGATAGTTGATGAATGAGGGCTGAAGGGTAGTCGTTGCGTCTGCCATTCACTCTACGCAGAATCCTCCGCTCTAGGCTTAATAGGTTTTCTTTGACTGGTTTTGATAATGTAGCATAAATATTTGATCGGTATTCAAAAATAGGTCTAATAAAAGTTTTATAGGTGAAAATTAATGTTCTAGAGTGCGTGGCCCCGAAATTACATCTCAAACTATTGAGGAGACTCAATCTGCTCCTAGCCTTGGCACAGGCTGCGCTCAAATCGGCCCTCCAATTCAAAGTTCGAGTGAACTTTACACCGAGGTATTCGATTTGATCACGGAGTTGGAGTTGATCTCCCCATAGCGTGAGATAGTTTCTTTCGTTAAAGGAGGCCGCGCGTACACTGTGATTAGGGTGTCTAAAAGAATCATTTGAGTTTTGTTCGGATTCAGGGACACTCTCCATCTCCTGCACCAGTTTTCGACTAGTCTAAGGTGATTTTGAGCATTCCTGAGAACAGAATCAACGTTCGTTGCTGTAGTTACCAGAGCAGTATCATCTGCGTAAAGTAGAGTGGTGGTTCTGTTAGTGTAGTATTAGGGAAGTCGCTGTTGTATATTATGTAAAGTATAGGGGCCAGTACGGAGACCTGTGGTACTCCGGCTGTTGGAGTAAAGGAATCGGAGAAATAACCACGTTCCTTAACTCGGACCAGACGTTCAGAGACGTATGATTGGATTAGTCTGACGAAAGGAATTGGTAGTCCAATGTTCAATAGTTTCTTGATCAGTCCCACATGCCAGACTTGATCGAAGGCTTTTTGAACATCGAGGAAAATACCTAATGCGAGTTTGCTGTCGTTCAGACTTTGAGTAATGTGTGTGACAATCTCAGTCAATGCCGTATTAGTAGAGCACCCTTCTCTAAAGCCGAATTGAAAAGAGGGAATGATGTTGTGTTCGTTGGTGAAGTCAATGAGTCTTTCTTTTAGGATCCTCTCAAAGACTTTTGCTAAAACATTTGTAAGTGAAATCGGCCGATAAGAGTTAGGATCTGTGCGGGGTTTGCCCTTTTTAAGGAGCATAATTGTATTTGCTACTTTCCATTGAGATGGGGAAATAGCAGAGTTTGAGAGTGGCATTGACGATATTTGTTAAATAGAGGTAGACACTCGGAGGAAATTGTTT